ACCGAAGAGACAAAACTGAAAACTGGTATGTGACATGCGCAAGTGTGATGAATGAACAAAACAGTGTGTGTACATCTGGGTATCTCTAAGATATCATTCCAAACAAGTCAAAGCAATAATGATGGAGGAATGTCAAATATTATAGATAGTTTTCAAACAGGCCAAACTTATCTGATATATGGACTACTTTTATCCCTAATTAGATTTTCATGTTGATTATTAATTGTTAAAAATGCGTAAAACCTAGAGAATTGTTGGAGTCATTCAGTACAATGTTGTATGCGAAAAGCCTGAAGCCATTTCATTGGATCGGATACGGTTAGATCTCATTGTACCCCAAAAATATCAAACGATGTTCCGTTTAAAATCTGAGGTCACATGATCACGGGGTGTGGCAAAAGATTTTTCAATGCCCATGTGTATGGCAAATGTCCAGTTTGCATTTATTCTTGTTTCTTATATGAGAGAAAACCTCAACCAATTAATACACTGTATAAGCAAGTTTTGCAAGTTCAAATTTTAATCATTCCCCTAATGTTCTTGCTTTTCATTTTTTTTCGTGTACAGTATATTTCATGTCTCGAGGTCGATCATTTTGTTAAATTTTCTTGATCGACCTCAATGATAAACAAATTGTGTCAATATTTTTTTAAATTTAATCAACAATACATTGATCAATAATTAGTATAAATAGTTTCTGAGCGTCGATCCTACCTCTCTTAAGTATCTCGGACACTAAGGGACTAAACTGAATCCACTCATGCGATGGTTCATCCGAATAATCAAGTTTGGACATGGTGACCGATTTATCGATCCACCTTGACGTGATTCGCTTCCTTACTCGACCGACCGACAGAGGTCAATTACCGCTGGGTTCGTTCATTCGCGTCAATGACGCACACTCGATCAACGATCACGAAGATACCTTTCCTGGGTGGGGCGTGGTTGGGAGGAACAGCCTGTCCCAAGCCACAGAACCTTTGACCCTCGCTCGGTAACTCACTGAAAAAGTACTTTTGCTTCTTGTTACGCAGATGTTAGTTCATTCGAACAGACCCGGTTCAGTGGATGACATTTGACGGCCGAAACGCCAATAATCCTGTGGGTTTTCCAGTGCATTGCGATTGGTTGGATTCACTTGAAGTTGTTTGGTTGAATCGATGAACTGATTGTGCATGAAGGTGCAAATTCGAGGATATTCATTTCAAATTATTCAAAAACATGTGAATCAGTGTAGGATGTATTATAAACGGACGATGAAACCGACCCCCATTGATCTGGCTGAAAGCTTCAGATCTGAGATTTTTGGGAATCACGAGGTCAATTCAAATCTCTGATTTCAAACAAATCGAAAAGCAGATCAGTTCCCTTGTGCTTGCCTGAGTACGCTTCGGCCACGGTTACGATGTGATTAGTGTCGACAAGGTGCGACACGACCGCACTTTTGAATGACTTAATAACTCCACTTCTGAACCACACAAGGTAATACTGACGAATGCACTCTGACAGATGTCTGGTCGTGCGACCAGTGTGATCCAGTGTTTACGTGGCGTCCGTGATTTCCAATCCGTGTCCACTAAGTGGAACCCCAGTTCTTCTGTTTAAATAATCTTTCAAACGTTTCTTTGGCTCATTAGAAATGTGAATTTTGTTACATTTAAACAAATGACCTTGTGGAGCTTTTGTTGTGTTTGCAAATTAGCTCGTTTTGATGCATAAACAACTGAGTTCTGATTACGGTTATTGTCCTTCTAAACCCGAACTAATGGACGATGTGTTGTTGTTGTTATTGTTGTTGATTTGCACTCAAACAACCTGACACTAGTTTGATCCATTCGACTTCCGCCCGGAGCTGNGGAGCTGTTCACTTTGCATGGCTTCTGACAGTGTGATATTTCAGAAACAACTCCCTACCCCGATAATCATAATTTCGCTTGGGATTTCACAAACATCACAAAATTGCTGTGGATGAATTGCTAAGTCCGCACAATAGGGGAAACTGTTGTGCACGTTTTACTGAATCGTCAAACCCTTGAATGAAGTAGTCAAATGGGCGTTTTCATTCCCATTAGTACAAGGGGTTCCATGTTGTTGAAGACCGCGGTGCACAGTGGTAGACTACCGACATGTTGCCGAGCTCGGCTGCGCGATGAACCCTACCCTGGAGCAATACGTTACAGTTATAGGACAACTGTGATCAAGCAAGCTTCACGGGTGACTTCAGTCAAACGTGTGCGTGCAGCAACTTCTGGATTACATACTACAGGGCGATTTTACTAGCAAATCCGAAACCGTGCGACACAGACAAGCTGAATAACGGCAGAAATACTATGCATACTCAAATTCAAGTGAATCCGGCGTAACGTCAAGTGAATCTAACAAATCACATTCCACTGGAAACCCCACACGATTATTATTGTGTCACACAATCACATATGATTTGTGCTCTTCTTGAAATAATTAATCAACTAACGTTTGCAACCCTTGCAGGAAAAATACGGAGTTGTAAGATCCTCTTTTCAGAGTATAGTTCACCAACCTATCCGCATTCATATCACCTATGATGTGCAGATTTCTCTCTCTTGAACTGGCCACTGGTATCCGACACCTTTGACCTCTTGGTGCACGCCCATAATTTCTTGAACAATGTAGGTTGAAGTTGGTTTCATCAATCGAGATAATCTCATGTCCAAGTGACTCGTACCATTGCAGGTGTTGAACATATCTAGGAAGAAATGACTCAAAAACAGGTGGTTACATTACCTTTTCCTCTTCTCTTTATTATCCAATAAGTTCATCGTTACTGGTATTTGATGAATATTTTTCATTGCAATCAGTTTCCCATCCAAATAGTTACCGATAGTTGTGATGGAAACTTCTTTATCGTATTCAACCTCGAGTTTCATCTGTTGAAACTACAATGTTACAGTTAGAGGGAGAAATGACTAAAAAACACGTCGTTATATTACATTTCCTCTTCTCTTCGTTATACAGTAAGCTGGCCGCTTCTGGTATTTGATGAGCATTTTCGATTGTAATCAAATAGAACTGACCTCAAATGTGCCTCCGACTGAGTTTATCGCGAAGCTCAGATGAGTTCCTTTCTTCCTAAAGGAATGTGCCAGAAGTACGCTATACTCACCTCAGGTTGAGTAATGAACTACAACGAACTAGGTAAGCGGATCTTCACCTGAAATGGCGTTCGTCAAGAGTACCCTAGTTCACGATTCCATTTTTTTCGTACACGTATTTCAGTCATCGGTGTTCACGTAAT